AAACTCATTTTCTTTTCCCCCAAATCCACCCCTCTTCCAAACTTTCCTGTTTATGTCAAGGTCACTTCCATTTTTCCAGTAGCCCAAATTCACAATCTGAAGAGTCACCCATAACTTCTCACTCTCCCTCACTACCTATATTTAATCAATTGCTACATCTTGTCAGTTCTAAGTCTGTAACTTCCCTTGCATCTGTCCCTTTCTTTTCACTTCATCCTAGTTCAAGCCCTCATCATTTCTCCTCTAGACTATTATAATAGTATCTTGGTTGGTTTCCTTGCTTCAGATCTGTCTCTGGGATAGGTTCATCCTCCATACTGCTGCCAAATTGGTTTCCTAAAGTACAAGTCATGTCACTCCCCTGCTGAATACATTTCCATAGTTTTCTGTTACCTCTTGAGTAAAATAGAAACTGTTCAAGGTTTTTCCTAGCCTGGTTCAACCCTACCTTTATAGCTTCACAAATAATTTCCCTTTTTTCATTCTGCAGTACAGCCAAACACATTTTTGTTGTGATAGTTCATTCTTTTCTCCTCTTTTGCCCAGGTTGCTTCTGTGCCAGAAATGCACATCTTCCTCATTTCCATTTCTTTGAATCCCTAGTTTATTTCAAAGCTCAACTCATCTTCTATTTTAGTCCTTCCTTGATACCATCCCTCCCTCCAGTTGCTACTGACTGACTGGCAAAAAACACAAAAGTCCCAGCCCTCAAGAACTTACATTAAAAAAAAATTATCATATGTGTCTTGAGACACAGTGGGAAGAATGCTGGACTTTGTACACAGTAACAGCAATATTGTAAGATGATCAACTGTGAATGACTTAGCTATTCTCAGTAATATAGCTATCTGAGACAACTCTGAAGAACTTACGGTGAAAAATGCTACCCATCCCCAGAGAAAGAAGCAATGGAGTGTGAATACAGAGTGAAACATACTTTCTAAACTTTCTTCATTTTTCTTGGGGTTTTATTTTGATCTGTGTTTTATTTTACAACATGACTAATATAGAAATATGTTTCTCATGACTACACATATATAACCTATATAAAACTGATTGCCTTCAGGGGTGGAGCCAAGATGGTGGAGTAAAAGCAGTGACTTGCTTGAAATCTCCCCCAAACCCCTCCAAATACCTGTTAAAAATGGCTCTAAACAAATTCTAGAGCAGCAGAACCCACAGAAGGACAGAGTGAAACAAATTTCTAGCCCAAGACAACCTGGATGGTTGATTGGAAAAGTCTGTTACGCCAGGCTGGGAGAGGAAGGCAGTTCAGCATGGGCATGCAGGCAAAGACCAGGCCTCAGTGAACCTGGAGCAGGTGTCAGAGGACTGAATCAGGGGCAGCTGTCACAGTTTCTAGACTTATCAATCCACAAACACCAAAGACAACTTAGAAGGTCAGTGGGAAAGGTCTGTCAGATCTGGGTGAGAGAAGATCGAGGTCCAGCCCAAGTCCCAGCATAGCCCTGGGGCGGTAGCTGCTTCTAGGAGCTCTCAGCCCACAGACACAGCAGGGATCAAGCCTATGATTAGAGGAGGATTGCAGGGATCTCTTTGCTGGCACAGAGGCAGGATTCTCTTGTTTTGCCCATGCTTGGATCTTGGTGGCAGTCCTAGAACGAGAAGGAGAGCTGGCATGGTAGAGCTTGTAGTGGCAGTGGAGAGGAAATATTCCTCCCAGTTCCAAGGCAGAAAAGAGTGCTTGTGGTCACTCATACAGCAGAGCATAGGCCAGGAAAGGAGTAAACACCTCCCCTTTGGTCATACCACCTTGGAAGAACTGAAAACTTACAGGTCCCTAGAAGTATCTCTGAAAACAGCTGCACAAAACCTGCAAAGCTTAGGACAGTACATTCTCCACACTGGAAGTAGATGCCTACCTAACAAACAGTTTAAAACTCAAGTAATTGGCTGAGAAGGTGAGCAAACTGTGCCAAAAAAAAAAGTCAGACCATAGAATCTTACTTTGATGACAAAGAAGATCAAAACATACAACCAGAAGAAGACAGCAAAGTCAAAGCTCTTACATCCAAAGCCTCCAAAAAAAAAAAAAAAGAATCAGTCCCAGGCCATGGAAGAGCTCAAAAAGGATTTTGAGAAGCAAGTAAGAGAAGTAGAGGAAAAACTGGGAAGAGAAATGAGAATGATGCAAGAAAATCGTGAAAAAGAAGTCAACAGCGTGCTAAAGGAGATCCAAAAAAATACTGAAGAAAATAACACCTTAAAAAATAGACTAACCCAAGTGGCAAAAGAGGTCCAAAAAGCCAGTGAGGAGAAGAATGCCTTCAAAAGCAGAACTGGCTAAATGGAAAAGGAGGTCCACAAAGCTCACTAAAGAAAATACCTCCTTAAAAATTAGAATGGAGCAATCAGAAGCTAGTGATTTTATGAGAAATCAAGACATTGCAAAACAAAACAAAAAAAATGGAAAAAAAACCCCAAAATAGAAGACAATGTGAAATATCTCATTGGAAAAACAACTCACCTGGAAAATAGATCCAGGAGAGATAATTTTAAAATTATTGGATTATCTGAAAGCCATGATCAAAAAAAGAGCCTAGACATCATCTTTCAAGAAGTTATCAAGGAAGACTGCCCTGATGTTCTAGAACCAGAGGGTAAAATAGAAATGGAAAGAATCCGCCGATCACCTCCTGAAAGAGATCCCAAAAGGAAAACTCCTAGGAATGTCGTAGCCAAATTCCAGAGTTCCCAGGTGAAGGAGAAAATATTGCAAGCAGCCAGAAAGAAACAATTCAAGTATTGTGGAAACTCAATTAGGATAACACAAGATTTAGCAGCTTCTACATAAGGGACCAGAGGACTTGGAATATAATATTCTGGAGGGCAAAAGAGATAGGAATACAGCCAAGAATCATGTACTCAGCAAAACTGAGTATAATCCTTCAGGTGAAAAAAATGGACACTCAGTGAAATAGAGGACTTTCAAGCATTCTTGATGAAAAGACCAGAGCTGAATAGAAAATTTTACTTTCAAATAAAAGACTCAAGAGAAATATGAAAAGGTAAACAGGAAAGAGAAATCTTAAGGGACTTATTAAGGTTGATCTGTTTACATTCCTGCATGGAAAGATGATATATGTAACTCATGAGACCTTCGTCAGTATTAGAGTAGTTGGAGGGGAAAAAATTATGTGTATGTATAGATAGATAGATAGATAGATAGATAGATAGATAGATAGATAGATAGATAGATAGGGCACAGGGTGAGTTGAAGATGAAGGGGTGATACCTAAAAAATAAAATTAAGGGGTGAGAGAGGATTATACTGGGAGAAAGAAAAAGGGAGAGGTAGAATAGGTAAATTATTTCACATAAAAGAGACAAGAAAAGGCTTTTACAGTGGAGGGGAAGTGGGGGGAGGTGAGAGGGAATGAGTGAATCTTATTTTCCTTGGATTTGGCTTAAGGAGGGGATAGCATACACACTCAGTTGTGTATGGAAATCTATCTTACCTTTCAGGAAAATAGAGGGAAAGGGGATAAAGGGGGTGGGGGCGGATGATAGCAGGGAAGGGATATTGGGGGAGGGAGTAATCAGAAGCAAACACTTCTGAGGAGGGACAGGGTCAAAAGAGAGAATAGAATAAATACAGGGTGGGATAGGATAAAGGGAGATGTAGTTAGTTTTTATGACATGACTACTATGGAAGTATTTTGCATGACTACACATGTATAACCTGTATTGAATTGCTTGCCTTCTCAGTGAGAGTGGCTGGGGAGGGAGGAAGGGAGAAAATTTGGAACCCAAAGTTTTGAGAACAAATGTTAAAAATTGTTTTTACATGCAACTGGGAAATAAGATATACAGACAATGAGGTATAGAAATCTGTTCTGCCCTACATGAAAATAGAAGGGGAAGGGTATAAAAGAAGGGCAGGGCAATAGAAGGGAGGGCAGATTAGGGGAAGGGTATTCAGAATGCATGTAGTCTTGAGGTGGGAGGAAGGGTGAGACGGGGAGAAAATTTGGAACTCAAAATCTTGTGGAAATGAATGTTGAAAACTAAATAAATGAATTAATACACACACACACACACACAAAACCTAATTGCCTTCTTAATGAGGGAGGTGGAGAGGGAGGGAGAGAATTTGGAACTCATTTTTAAAAACAAATGTTGAAAATTGTTTTTACATGTAATTGGGGAAAAATAAAATGCTAAATTTTTTTAAAAGTAAGAATGCTGGACTTTAATTTTGGAGAGACTCAAGTGGGGACAAAAATACAGGCAGAACGTATGTCACAGGTTGTTAGGGAGAAAGAAAGGGGGAGAGAAGGAAGGGAGGGAGGTGGGGGGAGAGAGAGAGAGAGAGAGAGAGAGAGAGAGAGAGAGAGAGAGAGAGAGAGAGAGAGAAAATATGTAAAATACTTTGCACATTACCTTAAAGCCATTTATAAATGTCAGCTATTTTGTGATACCAAACACTAGAAGACAGTTTCATGAAAGTTAGCTTATAATTTATAGCAAGCATTTATTTATGTTTTCTAAATGCAACCTTTCTTAAACAATTAAAAATTAGACACTTTTAATGCTTTCTGAGTTGTAGTTTGCTATTTCGTCCTGTTTCCAATTGAGCTGATAATTTAAAAATAGCCTGCCATGTGGTAAAACTGCTAATATGTTATTTATTTTAACATGTCTATGTCAATAGTACTTAAAAATCACATTTGAGTGTATGAAGTAAATCTTACTAGGTCTTTATGCCATGAATAATATAATATAGTTTTGTATAAGTTTCTTAGGAAAGCTATGATCATATCTAGCCAGTGTAATACTTAAGGAATGCTGCTTTAATTTTCTTCCCATAGAGATATAACTTTCAGCTTTTGAAATTAAAGTATTAAGGGCAGAATAATCCAGGTAGCATGCTTTTTGAATATTGTATTAAAATAATTCTATGCACATGTGAAAATATTTTCTTAAGTTTGTTGCTTAAAATCTAATTTTATTTTTTAAAATCTGCATTTGTTTTCTAGAACTAAACTGAAGTATATAAAACTAAAGAAATACCTGAAAGAAATATGTGAATCAGAAAGAAAGGCTCATGTTCGAAACCAAGAATATTTAAAACAATGTCATCAGATTCAGCTCCATATTGGAAGCTTCACCAGAAATACAGACAGACTTCAGAAAATGAAGGTAAAATGTTGTTATATAGCCTTTACTTATCTACTTTCAAAAATAGGAATTAGTAGGAAATGATTCTGAATCAGTCAATCATCGATCATTTATTAAGGGCCCACTATGTGATACAATAGCTAGCGAGCTGGACTTGAAATCAGGAAGGAAGACCTGAGTTCAAGTTTTACCTCTTGACTCATCATGTCTGTGTGATTCTAGACAAGTCATTTACTCTCTAAATAACACTTTAATACTACTAAGTTGTAGAGAAGTTGCCAATCTGTATCTTTAGAGAATTTCATTACCATTTCATACTAATGAAACAACAGGTTCAATCTCTAGCCCACTCTGACACACTAGGTGCTGGAGATAGTGAGACAAAAGTGAAATGATCTTGCTTTCAAGGAGTTAACCTTCTATCAGAGAAAATAGGATGTAAGCATGTAAGTAAATACTAGGTACTTAGTCTCAAATAAATATCTCTCAGTAGTGATTCATACAACTCACATTTCATAAAGCAGTTTGCTTTACTAGAATTTATTTAAGGAGAGTACTTCTGTTAATGTTTTTGTGGAATATGTTTAGTAATGTTATATAAAAATTTAAATATTAAAAAATTATTTCTTAGTTGTTAAATCTAGTGATCTTTCCTTAGTCCTCACCTTCCGTGTTGTTTTGTTAATCACTACTTCCTCATGAATACTCTCTAAATTCAATTTTTGAGATAACTTGCCTCTCTTGTTTCTCCTGAAACTTGACTGACCATTCTTTCTAAGTTTCCTTTACTGGAACATCATACATTTCTTGTCCCTTAAGGTTGTATATGCCCCAAAGCTCTGTGATCTTAGATTCAATTGTCATCTCTATTGTAAATGTCTCTTATTTCATCTATATCTGTCTCTCATCTCCTGACTCCAGTTCCACATCACCAACTTCTCACATTACTTTTTATGTCCAGGTTTGCAACCTTGGCATCATTAATAGGTTGCCAAATCTAGTCAGTTTTATCTCCACAACATCTCTCAGGTCTAGTCCTCTCTTTCCACTTCCATAGTTACCTAACTAGATCAGACCTTCATCACTTCTCACCTAAACTACTGCACTTACCGCTTATTTGGACTCTTCCTGTCCGTGCTGTCCTCTCTGCATTCTATCTTCCACTTGGCTACCAAATTGATATTCTTTTTTTTTCCTTTTAAATAGTATTTTATTTTTTCCAATTAATGTAAAGACAATTTTAAAAATTCATTCTTTTATGAAATTTTGAATTCCAAATTTTTTTCCTCCTCTCCTTCCCCTCCTCCCTAAGACAGTAAGCGATTTGATATAGGTTATATATGTGTCACCATGTAAAACATATTTCCATATTAATCATGTTACATTAGTCATTTAACAGAACAAAAGAAAAAAACTACGGAAAAAATAAAGAAAATGAAAATAGTATGCTTTGATCTGTATTCAGACTCCATCACTTCTTTCTCTGGATGTGTATAGCATTTTCCACCTTGAGTCTTTTGGAATTGTCTTGGATCATTGTGTTGCTGAGAAGAGCTAAGTCATTTATAGTTGAACATCCTTAAAATATTGCTGTTACTCTGTACAATGTTCTCCTGGTTCTGCTCATTTCACTTTGCATTAGTTCATGTTAAGTCTTTCCAGGTTTCTCTGAAATCTGCCTGCTCATCATTTCTTATAGAATAATAGTATTCCATTACATTCCTATACCACAACTTGTTCAGCTATTCCCCAGTTGATGGGCAACCCCTCAATTTCCAGTTCTTTGCCACCACAGAAAGGGCTGCTCTAAATATTTTTATGCATGTCCTTTTTAATAATTTTTTTGAGATACAGACCTAGTAGTGGTATTGCTGGATCAAATTGGTTGCCCTTTGGGTGTAGTTCCAAATTGCTCTCCAGAATGGTTGGATCAGTTCAGACTCCTCCAACAATGTATTACTGTCCCAATTTTCCCACATCTTCTCAATATTTATCATTTTCCTGCTTTGTCATGTTACCTCAGAGTTGTTTTAATTTTCATTTCTTTAATCAATAGTGATTTAGAGCATTTTTTTACATGACTATAGATAGCTTTGATTTCTTCATCTGAAAACTGCCTGTTCTTATCCTTTGACCATTTATTAATTGGGGAATGACTTGTATTCTATAAATTTGACTCAGTTCTCTGTAGCAAATTGACATTCTTGATGTTCAGATGTGACTACATCACTCCCCTGCTCATGAAGCTTCAGTGGTGTCTGATTGCTTTGAGGATAAGATTCTCACTCCTTTGGCATTGGCTGAGAACAAACCCAAAACCTGAAAAATTTTTATAAAGAATTTTATTAGTCACTTAGCAGAAGAGAGAGCTAGAAAAAGTGTGACTGCCTTTGCCAGTCTCTGAATCTTACATAGAGTTTACCCAAGGGTACAAGCACATGAACTGCATGTGGGTAGCTTCCAGAAAAGAAAAATTCCCACATAAGGTTGTTTGAGATGTATTTTAGCAGTTAAATATAAACATTTAATATAATTTTGGGAACCCAAATCACAAACTTTGAGTGGACTCAAAACAAGACCTGGGTGGGATTTAAGCCTGCTTTGCAGCCATCTGGCTTCCTTGGAGTGTCTCTAAGGTCAGCCTGACCCTCTGTGGTAAGCTTTAGGTTAGACAATTTTCTATCCATATAAAACTAGGTTTGAACAATATTAATAAATAATAAATAATGAAGTATTAGTCAGAATTCCCCTATTTTTGGACGTTTAAAAGTCCACTATTCTCATAAACAGAGAGCTGAGTTAAGATCTCAAAGGAAGTTTATTAAAATAATCCAAGTCAATGCTGTCCTCTTCACTGCTTATTTTGTTTAAAGGGACCAGATTGGTGACAAACTTCTCCTAGTATCTGTTCATCAGAGATCAAAATTTGAGGAATTGCCTCAGGGCCTGTGAGTCAGGGGGCTTAGACTTGCACTGGGACACAAGTGCACTACACAGTATAGGGAAATTTCCCAGGTATTGAAAACAAGAGCAAGAAAAAATGCATATATGCTACTGGGAATCCAGTTGGTGAAGTGAATAGAGTGCTGGGCCTAGACTCAGACCCATCTTCCTGAGTTCAGATCTGGCCTGAGACACTTACTAGCTTTGTGGCCTTGGGCAAGTCACTAAAACCTGTGTGCCTCAGTTTTCTCATCTGTAAAATGACCTAGAGAAGGAAATCGCAAACCATTCCAGTATCTTTGTCAAGAAAACCCCAAATGGGATCATGAAGAGTCAGATATAATTGAAATGACTGAACAATAATAATCACAAAAAACCATAATCCCATGTTCCTTTTATGTCATAAAAGTTAAATAAACTCTCTAGGTAAACTGGGTCAGATTACAGATTAAATTATATTTAAAAGGTTACAATAGAATAATTGAGAGGGGAGATTTACATATCACCAAGGTAACCAAGACATCAGGTAAATTCTACCTTACACAGTTAGCTAGGGGAATTAATGAATAATTAAATTACTTTGGAAAGCTCACACTCATCCTTTGGCTTCAGCCTGAGGAGTATCAAACTGTTAACCCTCTTATTCCATAAGTCAAGTTTTGGTCAGATGAGGTTAATATTAACAGAAGACAGACTTTTAATTAACTAAAAGTTTCAGGAGGAATGACCTTGATTCCCAAACAGTAAATAAAAGCAGTTTGGACATACCCCTCTTGCAAGCAGCATGAACACTATGAAACATTAGAGCCAAAGAAATACAGTAATGATCATCAATATTAAATAATATCAAATGTCTGTGTTTCTAGCAACCCACTTCCAAAGTTGATTTAATTAGCATATTTCATCTTGAGTCCCAGCTGTCACATAATAGTCATATAGTCATCTAGTCCCTAGAAACATCTTCCCTTGGAAATTCTGCAATCAGCCACATTCTTAGGGCAGCTCTGGGGGGGATTTTCTCCTAGCATATCTGCATCTCTGGTTCCAAGTCACCTGGAAAGTTTCCCTAGTCAGTGTTGCTAAAACTTGCCAGTCATGAGACTCAATGCAATTTAGTACAACCTCAAATTTAGTTTTCCACTAACTAGTTTATATGGTGAAAACCAGCTCAAACCTTATGAAACAACCCTATTAACAACAGAGGTATAAGAAGGACATCAAATTAGGAACCTATGAACATAATTATAAACACTTTTTATACAAATAAAGTCAGAGTTGAATAATTGGAGTAATATTATTTGTTCATGGGTGGGCAGAGCCAATATAATAATTGTCCAGAAGATATTGGTCTTGACATTTTTAATCATGACACTTCTATCTAATCTACTTATTCAATACCATCTCAAATTAATTACCAAAAAATTATTTTATTGAGCTAGAAAAAAATGATAGAATTCACTTAGAAGCACAAAAAGTCACGAATATCAAAGGAATAATGAGGGGAAAATATAAAGGGAGGGGATTTAACAGTACCAAATCTTCAACTGTATTATAAGGCAGAAATTATCAATACTCTCTGGATACTGGCTAAGAAATAGAATGGTTGATCATTGGAACAGAGTAGACATACAATACATAGTAGTAAATGATTATAATAGCCTTGTTTTTGACAAATATCAAGGTTTTAGCTTTTGGGATAAGAATTCACTATTTGGTAAAAATTGTTAGGAAAACTGGAAAGCAGTCTGGCAGAAATTAGTGTAGGCCAATATCTTATACCATTTATCAAGATAAGGTCACAATGGATATGTGATGTAGATATAAAGGGAGATATCACATAAATTAGAAGAATGTGGAGCATATTAACTATCAGATTTATGGCTAGGAAAGGATTTATGAATAAACAAGAGATAGCATTATGAGATATAAAATGGATAATTTTGATTACATTAAATTAAAATGGTTCTGCACAAATAAAACCAATGTAGCCAAGATTAGAAGGAAAGCAGAAAACTGGAGAAAAACATTTATAGATAATTTCCAGGATAAAGGTCTCATCTCAAATATATAGAGCAATT